ATAGCTGAGCGTTGTGGCAGGCAGCTGTAGTCCCAGCTACTCAGGAGGCTGAGAGCAGAGAATCAGTTGAGCCCAGGAGTTTGAGGTTGCTGTGAGCTATGATGCCACAGCATTCTACTGAGGGCAACATAGTGAAACTCTGTCTCAAAAATTTTTTTTAAAAAAACATACATAAACATTTTCCAGTAAGTGATGAAGTAGTGGTTTGTAAATTTAAGTTAATTAAAATTAAATAAAATTAAAAATTCAGTTCCTCAATTATGCTAGACATGTTTTAAGTGCTCAAAAGTTGTATGTGGCTAGAGTACTGGATAGTACAGGCCTAAGGAGAAACAAAGGCACTTGGTTGACACTTCTACCATTAGCATTTCATATCTACGTACTGTTGAGGTTTTCTGTGTATTAAACAGAGATAACTCGCCATACATTAACTATCAAAGTAGTCCTATTGGTCACATCACTACTTTTCTATCTGTGAAAAAGGAATCTTCGAAACAGAATCAAGATGTAGTACTGGACATGTGGAATGCAGTCAAAAAATGTTTGAGGAGTGAATATCCTCTTCATTACTCAAGGAATAATTCACTCATTTGTGGACTCCTTAAGCCCTTTTTTCTATTTTCCTAAGTTCAATCATTGGAATTTATTAAACTCTACGAAAAACAGATCAAGCTATAAGAAAACGTATTTTCAATTGCATATTATGTATTAAAGGCATTACAGTGTAATGACTAAGACTTAAGCTGTGGAGTCAGACTGTCTGGATTCAAATCCTGGTTCTATCATTTATTCAGTGTTTGATCTTGGATAAATATTGGCCTCTCTGCATCCCAGTTCCATCTTCTGCAAAACAGCGATGACACTACATACTCTCCTGGTGTGCTTTGGGGATTGCAGATAACAGAGAACTTGAACACAGTGCTGGGCACATAGTAAATGTTCAATAAAGATGAGCTTTTTAAACAGAGATGATGAAGTTGAAATTATAGCTAAAGTAAAAACAAGCATTTCTCAATTATCTGTGTCTCCCACATTACCTAAGATATCAAAAAGAGTATAAAGCCAGTAATGTGAAGTCCTCAAAAGGAAAGGCTTCTACGTAGTTATTCCATTTAAAAAGGGATAAACAAGAAACTCCATTTATTGACAGGGTACATTTGTGCAGTAGAGCACAAATGCAGCCAAGCAAAGAGAAAAACACCAAGCAAAATAGGAAGGCAGCTACTTTACCTGCTTTTCCGCTTTCGAGGTGGTTTCTCCACTGTGCCAGTCAGTCTACAGACCAAATAAATAAGACAGTAATCAAAAGTAACATACAAGAACACATCTCCAAGCCCTACTGTGCCAGTCAAGAGCTAAATGTACCACCTTCTGGGACCACCGGCTCGCCAAACCCAAATCTGACCTTACAAATGCCTTATCCTCTGTATCCCCCACTCACCATTCCCCTAACGCTCTCTTAGCCCAAACCCAGCTCTGCCTCTGGGTCCCTCACTCCATCCTCAGCCCCTAATCGTCACAGCCCAGCTCCCCAAAACCACCCACCTCCACCTATTCATTGTCTGCCTCGTCACCCCCGCAAGGCCCCCCAGCCTCCCCTTTCCCGTGCCCACCCCCAACCGGTGGTGTACGGCCACTCTGAGGACGGCCTCTCCAGGCCTGCGACCCCCGCATTCCAGGGCCCCTCCGCGGGGCACGCTCCCTGCCATTCCCGGCCCGGAGCCCCCAGCCTCACGTCTCGGCGCCCCTGCCCTCACACCCCCCGCTCACCCGGCCTCAG